AGTCCTTGGCTTCCATTTGTGAGTAGTTTGTTCTAACCTCCCCTAAACGCGTGCAGCAGCCGGCTGGAACACTTTAAAGAAGTGAAAACCTTACAACAAAATTAAGCTTAGCTTTAGACTTGGTTAACCGTGTGTAAGGGATTTGACTGTTTCCACTTTGCAGCATATCGCGAGCCCAGTGTACGTGAGGATCTTAATTTTTTTCGATGTTACCCTGTATACCTCAGGTGATTGGGATGCACTACTTCTCTCCTGTTGACAAGATGCAGTTGTTAGAGATCATCACTACTGACAAGACATCCCCCGAAACAGCAGCCTCTGCTGTGGCTATTGGTCTCAAGCAAGGAAAAGTCGTCATTGTGGTTAAGGTGATTGTGATTTTTATGAAAAATACAGAAGGCTTCCGGTGGGTTTATCGCTTTGAGTCAGAATGGCCAGGATTAAACATTTTTTTCTAAATTGCTGCATGAGTAGGCTATGACAAGAGAAGTAAAGTATCAGCTTTATTCTTCACAGGAAACTTACTGCAGATGTATAGGGAACTTTCACAAGAGTCAAAAAAGCTAATTTTATTAGAAATTATAATTACAGCAATAAAAATTAATGCAAAAAAGGAAAGAATAAAGAATAGAAGCTGCAGGAAAGGGAAAAAACAAATGAAAAATAAAAATAGGCTGAAGAAAAAAATATTTAAAGAAATAATTTCCCCTTTCATCAAAACAAGTATAAACAATTTTAGTAACATCATTGTCTCTTAAAATTCAGTAAATATAGCTATTCCTTTGTTTCCCAGAACTCTAAATCTGCTGTCTTGTGGTCTCCTTATAAGTAGCAGCTCTCTAGAGCATTTGTGGGTGATCTCAAGTTTTCTCTTTATCCGGAGAGGGAGTATTATCTACTCATCAGCTCTTCATTCTGCTGTGGCCGTCAGCTCTGCTTCTCACAGAGCTGTCTTCAGTCCACCATTTCTTCCCTGTAAAGCCAAAAAAAGCTCAGATTTTGTGCTTTTTTTCTTGGTGGTATAAAATAACTTTTTTATATACCAATTATTTGTCTGCTTAACAGCTTTAAGAGCTCTTGGAATGCTCACAAATGTCAATCTGAGGTAAAAGTTTAACCCTTTTATATTTAGATGTAGAATATCAATTATGTGCTTAAAAACAAATGTATTAATAAAAATCAAATCCATATTAGTTGGGATCTCAGCCTAAATTCCTGTTCAGCCTATACCACTGAAAAGCTGGTCTAAACTAGTCTGTTTGCCACATGTATAGCCTGTAAATGAGAAAATACCCCATAGATGAGAAATACCCTACATATAAGAAAATCGACATCCATTAAAGTGTATTGGTGAGGGAAGATTAGTTAGATTATTTGCTGCCTTATCTTCCTTAGCAAACCTATTTCATATTTGTGTTTCCTCCTCCACAGGATGGTCCAGGATTCTATACAACTAGGTGCCTTGGTCCCATGATGGCTGAAATTATCCGTGTCCTCCAGGTGTGCAAACAGCTAGGGTTTGGGAGAGTCTTTTATGGATTGGATGGGATAATACAGCTCTGTGAAAAGACACTCATCCAATTTCAAATTCTAGTGATAATATAAAGAGTGTTTAAATTAACCAATAGCATCAAAGTTATTTGAATCAGAAATTGAATTTGCAGGCTACATGGGATTCCTTATGCCTCGTGATAATTATTGAATTCCATAATAAGAACCTATATCAGCCATCAAATATTTAAATGGTGTTTTGGGATTGCTTTGAACAGATTCAGTTTTTGCAGAATGGTCAAGTCAATTCAAATCTAAATGTAGAAAAGTGGCAGGACTTGAAACAAGTAGTTAATGCTAGAAAAACCTCAAGTATGAGCTGAGACAGTTCAGCATGGAGGAATGCACTAATATGCAGGACTGTAGTAAGTATTTGGTCGCAATTGCTCCAATTTCTGGAAGTACAACCAATTAATATAGGAGGTAACTAGGTTTTCAGACTAGCAAATCATAAGTTGATTGTTTATATATAAATGATACCAACATCAAAATTTGATGTATAGTATTTGTTCATTCAGATTACCACAGGAAATTGACAAGATTCAGTAGAAAAATACAGTCAAAAAAGGAACCAAATACTTTTTCACAGAATTGCATATAATTAGATGGATAAGCTCTGGTTCATTAGTTTTACTATTGTGGCTTTTAAATAATAGCATTATACCCACCAAGTGAAACTGGGACAAAATAGGCAACACTAACAATTTATAGTCTTCTCATAAGTTATAACCTGGTTCATCCAGTAACAAATCAGTGTTAAGAGTTATGATGCTTAGGAACACTATGTTTACTCACTATAATTTGAGAGGGAGGAGGCAAACAGTTAATTGTTAATTAGTTGAGTCAGAAATTGCTGATTATTGCAGATTATTGAACAATCTATCGCCAGAATTAGATCTTCTTTCACTCAAAGCATTTTCTTTTTCAACTGCGTCTTCTGCAGGAAGGTGTTGATCCTAAGAAAGTAGATTCCCTTTCCACTAGCTTTGGCTTCCCTGTTGGAGCTGCTACTTTGATTGATGAAGTGGGGGTCGATGTGGCCACTCATGTAGCTGAAGATCTTGGCAAAGCTTTTGGTGAACGATTCAAAGGGGGGAATGTGGAGCTAATGAAAGCCATGGTAAACAAGGGCTTTTTAGGTAAGAGTTGCAAGCTGAGCAATTCCCCACAGTTCAGTCTTATGTACCAGCATCAGTTGTTCTTCACTTGTTCTTTGGTTGTTTCTGTTGGTTTCCAAGTACCTCGTGCCAGTGGAGGGGCATGGCTGTGGATGGTTGTCTGTGAGATGGTTTGTTCCCTTTAAGCCTCTTCTCAAGTCCAGCTACCACTCATTCTGCTCCTGTATATTTTGGTTTTTTTCATGGAAAATAATTATAAGCGGCTTTGTGAGCCAGTCATATATAATATAGGGAGTCGTTCATTTACAGTAGTTTGTTTAGTGTCCATTCAAAATTACAGTGGCACTGAGAAAATATGACTTATGACTGTTTTTCACACTTACCATTTCTGCATCCCCATGGTCACATGATCAAAATTCAGATGCTTGGCTACTGACTCATATTTATGACAGTTGCAGTGCCCCTGGGACATATGATCACCTTGTGCGACATTCCGGCAAGCAAAGTCAATGAGGAAGCCATATTCACTTAACAACCGTGTTATTAACTTAATGCAGTGATTCACCTAACAACTGTGGCAAGAAAGGTTGTAAAATGGGGCAAAACTCAACTGCCTTAACAACTGTCTCATTTAGCAACAGAGATTTTGGGCTCAATTGTGGTTGTAAGCCGAGGACTACCTGCAAAGAATGATATGACAGGACACTGTCACTTTTCCCCTATTATGGTGGTGGCGAACTTATGGCACAGGTGCCAGAGGCGGCACGCAGAGCCCTCTCGGTGGGCACGTGTGCCGTCGCCCCAGTCCTAGGCCTTCAGCTGGGTTTTATAAAACCTTTTCACTTTAGGCCTCCGCCGCCGTGTGCAAAAAAAAAAAAAGGTTCAATCAGTCAGTTTCAACTTCTTGCGGGAAAAAAAAATCTTGCAAAGTTGGAATTGATTGATTGAACTTTTTAGTCCCACCCAGTCTGCCGTTACCACCGCAGCCATGCCCAGCCAATGGGCACGCCCAGCCAATGGGCCACACCCAGCCAATGGGCCACACCCACCCGGCACCCGACAATGCATAAGTGGTTTTGGGTTGCAGTTTGGGCACTCGGTCTCTAAAAGGTTCGCCATCACTGCCCTATTACTTCCTTCTGCATGAAGAAATCTGCTGGATCTCAGCTTTCTGAAATCAGTTTGAAAACAAAGAGTAGTTCCCGGAAAGAGGGTTTATCTGTCAGATCCAGCCTTTCCCCCATTTTAAGCCCTATTTCCTCATAGTAACCCCGGGACAGGGGTTGTTCCTCTGTCCTTGTTCTTTTGGACCTCTCAGCGGCTTTTGATACTGTGGACCACAGTATCATGCTGCGGCGGTTGGGTGGGTTGGGAGTGGGAGGCACCGTGATGCGGTGGTTCTCCTCCTTCCTCACCGACCGTACGCAGTCTGTATTGGCAGGGGGACAGAGGTCGACTCCAAGGCCCCT